ACACAGCCCGAAAAACCCACAAAAAACTAGGGAACAGTTGTTGGGATAAATGTATTATGTTATAAATAACCAAATCCACCCTTACGTCAGCCATCTCAGTTCTTCAAGGCAGAGGAGAACGGTCACGCTTTTCTTCCACATGGGAAAAATCCCTCCCACTGGACTACCATGAAGCCAGGTGGACCCTGATCCAACACATTCCTGAGAAACCTACAGAACCTTTGCAGCTCCATGCATTCCACCCTTATTTGTTATGTCACCTCCTGAGGAAGGGGCAGGAAAGATTCTCTACAAGCCCCCTTTTCAAGTTGCTTGACGTACATAGTGCCATTTAAATTCACAGCAGAGCAAAGTAAGCAAAACCACCACAGGGCCATCCTTGCAAAGAGATGTAAGTGTCGCCTCCAGCTAATTTCCAAAGTAATGAAGCATCATGCATTTCTGTGCAGGCACAGGAGGAAGGCGCTTGTGGGAGAATGGAGGCAGTCGTTCCTTTCTGACACAGGAGCCAGGCTCTTTGGGAGTCAAGAAGTCAAAAGAAGAATGAATTTGGGACAGTATGTCTGGTAGTGAGAGCTAGTCAGGGAGGAAAGGTGAAAGGTGACAGGTAGAAGAACATCAAACCCTTTGAAACGTGGTGCTGGAGGAGAGCTCTCCAAATACCACAGACCCCTGAAAAGACAAATGAATGGGTCGGAGAGCAAATCAAGCCTAAGGTCTTACTCATGACTAAACTGAGACTTTTGTACTTTGGACGTACCATGAGACAAGGTGACTCATTAGAAAAGGCAAATAATGTTTTTATTTGTAAGATAAAAGGAGTAATTTGCATGCCTACTGCCTTCCTTGGATGTGGTAGCCCTTTCTCAGGTCCCCACTAGAGACTCATGGAACTTGTGATGGAAAAATAACAATACATGGCTCCTCTTTCAGGGCCCAGTAATTGGAATGAGTAAAGGCCCAAAAACCTAAAGGCTTCAGATCCTATGTGATCATGGAAGCTAAGCAGGGTCAGTCCCGGTTAGTCCTTGAATGGGAGAATGACAACGAACACCAGGTGCTGTAGGCTAAATTTCAGAGGAAGAAACTGGCAAAACCACCTGTGAGGAGTCCTTGCCTAAGAAAACTCTGTGGGGTTGCCATAAGTCAACAGGTGACTTGAGGGCACATGGACACACTTGCATCATCCTGTTTTTTACATACGTACATAGAATCGGAGAGTTGGAAGAGACCCCAAGGGTCATCCAGTCAAACCTCCTTCTGCCATGCAGGAATTCACAATCAGAGCACTCCCTGTGACAGATGCCCAGACCCTTCACCATTTTGCTTGCCCACCTCTGGACATAGTCCAGCTTGTCCACATCCTCTTTGAATTTTGGTGTCCAGAACGAGACACAGAATTCCAGGTAAGGTCTGACCAAAGCAGAATAGAGTGGTACTATTACTTCTACACAAGGTAGAAGGCAGTAGAAAAAGAGGCACACTACACTACAGGTGAATAGATTGAATAAAGGGAACCACAGTTGCCCTGAGTTTGTAAGACCTGAGTAGGGCTGCTGATGACTTCGGGAGGGCTCTCATTCACAGGGTCAATGTTGACCTGATGGCAGATGACAACATAAGAACTGGACCAGAAGTCCAAGGATTTCTTCTCTTCTCCTGGGATCAGGGAGAGCAGCCATCTTTCACAGTGCATTCTCAGCCATGCATGCCTGCTCAAATGTCCGAACCACTGAATTCAACAAGAGCTGGAGGAGCATTCACGTCTGCAGCCTGAGAGGGCCTCCTAGACATTCCCCTGAGGAAACAGGAGACTGAAGCAAAGGCTGAGCCAGAAACTTCTAAAAAGAGCCCTTTTATTACGCCTCTCTGCTATTTTGCAACTCATCTTTATAACCAACCCATTTTTTTAAAAAAGAAAGCCGTTGCCTTTTCTTTCTTTGAAATCCTCATCTGAAGAAACAAACCCCTCCTCCTGCCCTTGTTCCAAATTCTCCCTTGCAAAATGTGTGCAGAGCACCTGCGCAGAGCAGAACCCAGGCTCTTTAAAAACCTTGATCCAAAACTATTTTTGCCTCAAGGAAACACTTCTCAGGCAGTTTGAAGGAGCCCAACGCAAAGTCTTTCAAGAACAGAGGAAGCAGTGCAACCCACTGGCAGATGGACGGCAGCCTATTTTGGGATTCTCGCAAGAAAAGTGGGAGTAGGGGACTCTAACCCAATCCAGCGCCCGCAAGCACATCCGCACGATCCCACAGGAGGGACGAGTCACGCTCGGCGCGTCAGGAGACCCACAATGTGCCCTTAGGCTTTACAAACTTAAGATGCAACCGGTGGATTCCAGAGATTCTGTATCCAGAAGGAGAGCTGGTTGATGCTGTGTGCCTTCAAGTCCTTTCTGACGTATGGCAACCCGATCACAGGGTTTTCTTGGCAGAATTTGTTCAGAGGTCTGCCTCTGCCTTCCTCTGAGGTGGAGAGAGTGTGACGTGGCCAAGGGAAGCAAGGGAATCAAACCCTGGTCTCCAGAGTCGTAGAAGTCCAACGCTCAGGCCACTGCTCCAGAAAGCACAAGGCTAAAGTGAGCTCCACCCAGGTGTAGGTGACAACAGCTGTCGCCCGACAGGAGCTTACCTTTCAGAGGGAGAAAGGACAAATGAAGAGGAGAGAACGGACGGCAGCAATGAGAAATCAAGACCTGCCAAGCAGCTGCAACACGATAGGGCAGGCCGAGCATGGCTTGCTCCAGGCCTCTTGTTTACAGTCACACGAGAGAGAGAGAGAAAGCTGGCCAACTCTCTCAACTTTGACTCATGACTGTTTGCTCATCTGGTGCTAAAATGTAGTTTAAAGGGGCCAGGCTACTACAGCCACCATAGAGGTACTAAACATGGCCAGCAGTGACCTACGTAAATAGGACTCCCAGTGACTTCTGCAGTTTATTGCTCCAAGGTTGCCCACCTTGGCTAGGTGGCCAATAGCACTTGGCATCCACTTTCAAACCCAGGCATCACCTTGGCTGCTATTTCCATGTTGTCACTGTTCACCATGTATGTGTTTCTATTTAGTGCATGTTGTGGCTCAGCAAACATGCTTCTCAGAAACCTCTAGATCTTTCAGGCTAGAAGAAAAGCTCAGGAATTATTTATCTGTCAGTAAATCTGTTTGAGGGTTGAGATGAAGAAGAGGCCCAATCCTAGGTCCATCCTGGCTGTTATTCTTTTCCCATCTAACTCCAACTACCATGACCCTGCTTTCATGGCTACTCCTTCCCCCCCAAAATACCTAAATAGGGTATTGACCTATTCAGAAACAATCACCTCCCAGGTCTAGCAGGCTACACAAAGTATACAGCTTTGCAAAAGAGATACACACGAGCTCCAGGCATGGTGAATGTTCTGGATGTCAAGAGAAAACCAAACTCACTTGTACTTGTTTCTGCTTTAAGACAGTACAGAAAATGAAGAGATGGAATTCAAACCTCACTACTGATGATACATAAATACCAACTGGGGACTGCCAAGGGATCCCAGGTGCTGTTGGTTAAACTTCAGAGGAAGAGAATGGCAAACCACCCTTGAGTATTCCTTGCCTAAGAAAACCCTGTGAAATTCATGGAATTGGCAAAGTCAACAGGTGACTTGAAGGGAGATATTTTACTCTGAAACTGTGCCTCACTTTCATGAACAAGAACAGCGGCTCCGGAAGTCCCTTCTGGCCATCGGAAGCTCTCCGGATAAGACGGCCTTCTCTCTCATCTCTGCTGTTAACTGCTGTCAAGTTGACTTCAACTTGTAGCAACCTTATGTATGAGAGATCTCCAAGTCACCCTGTTACAAACAGTTGAGCTCAGGTCTTGCAAAATTACTCTTCTCTTTCCCTGCCCTAAAAAAACCCCCAAAAGACCTTTAACTGGAGATTCTGGGGCTTGAACCTGTGGCCTTCTTCATGCAAACTATGTTCTTTACTTATGAATGACCACCAGGAAATGCTTGGGACTGTAAGAGGCAGGCAATAGCAAGTCACCTCTGAGTATCCCTTGCCTAAAAAGCCCGCATGAAATCACAGCATCACCACACACTGACAAGCAACTAGAAGGCAGGCACACACACATACTGTTCAAGCAGCCTCCTAGGCTGCAACCTTTTTGTACATTTAATGTGCAAAATGTACAGCAGCCCTGGTGGCGCAGTGGTTAAATGCCTGTACTGCAGCCACTCACTCATAGACCACAAGGTTGTGAGTTCAATACCAGCCAGGGCTGAGGCTCGACTCAGGCCTGCATCCTTCCGAGGTCCCTAAAATGAGTACCCAGATTGTTGGGGGGCAATCAGCTCACAGCTGTAAACTGCTTAGACATCCCATGCGCGATATGAAGCGGTATATAAATGAAGCTGCTTTTACTTCAAATGTGGCCCTCCAGCTCCCATGATATCTTGCCCCTGACCATGTTGCCAGAGGCAAAGAGGAG